CCTGAGGCTGCATCCCAGCTCCACGGTGGAGAGTACTGTGACAGCCACCAAAAGCCTCTGTTCTAAGACTTGGAAAAGTTAGGGATGTCCCACATACTTTAATTCTTTCCTAATTATAATGAGATAGAAAAAATAATGTCTCAAATGACGTATTGCCCAAAGGAGTTTATCTCTCACTCTCCTCTGTTGAATGCAGTGCCTGGTATTACTTAGCTCTTTTCCTGCCTTTTGCCTCAATATGGGATTCTTTCACTGTCAATGGTCTTCAGGCCCCAGAAGGAGTGCAGGTTCTTGGTGATAGTGCTGGGTTACTTAGAGCAACCAACCCACTACATATGTGATTTGGACAGCACACGGAGTGGGGACATGTCCTGAGGCCTTTGGATGTTCTCCTTAAAGCCAATGTGGCTTCCAGTCTTGTTTGGAACACTACCAGTTTCTCTTTGTTCATTATAGAGAAACAAAAAGCATATAAGTGTGGTTTCGAAATAGACTTAACAGGAAGTTTTCAGGTGGTATTGGTTCTTCCTTGTTGCAGATATATTGCTTATCTCGTGGAAGCGGCACAAAGACTTTGACCTACCTTGCTTAAAAACAATAGACAATAGGCACGGCCTGCTAATCTGGGCTTCTTGGGAAAAGGAAAGGTTATCACATGACAGTGTCTGGGTTTCTCGGGCTTTTTTTAGTAGATTTTCCTGAGGGCCTCCCATAACTGGAAAAGACAATAAATGACATTTGTCATCCTGCTCTGAACTCTTCTATAGAAATATATTTATTTTAATTACCAGGATGTTGGGAGAATGTGATGGCTCTTCTTCGGCTGTCATTTTGAACTAATGGAAGTTTGAATTCATTCTTTGTACTCAGATTACAAAGAAAAGGGCTTCACATAAGCCAACTTACGAAAATTTGCAGAAGAGTTTAGAGGCCATGAAGTCCCACTGTCTGAAGAATGGAGTCACCGACCTCTCCATGCCCAGGCAAGGAAATCCCGGGCCCTGAATAAAGACTTTTAATTGTGTGGTGGAATTTGCTGTCTGACTTGAAAGCTTAACTCAAAATATAGGCTTAAAAGTGGACAAATTGAAAAACTTCTAAAAATCAGTGAACCAGTGATCAGCCTTTAAGCTGCATTATACACATTTCTTAGCCTGGGTTGAATGAATCAGGATAATTAAAACACACCTGCTTCAGACTACTTCATAGGGAGGACCTGTTGGTCAATCACCTTTGTTGAATTCTGGGTGTCTTCTGCCTGAGGAGACTGAGGCTCTGTTCTTGAAGCAGTAAAAGCCTAAGAACCAAGACTGAGCAGTTGTGATTTTTTTCTGGGCCACTTCATGTGTCCCAAGCTTGTTAATCTGGTGCAAAGAAGGTTGTAAATTATCACTGCCTTTTACACTGCATGCTTGTGTTCAGTGTGGGTAGTAGCCAGAGGATATGTCCCTTATGTAATGTCTTAGATCCTTGCTATTGGGAGCTTAAGGGAATGGCTTTGGGGGTGCAGTATACTCTTTATTTACTTTCTTTTTAGGAACTAGGCTTGGGGTCATTTCTCTTCCTGTCAGTCTAATTTTGAGTCAGTGCTGACCATGTGTGCAGGTTTGTTTCAAGCCCCAAGTTATGAATGTGGCTACAAAATCCGTTATTTACCCTGGGCTTTAATGTGTTCGTGTCTTCCGTATCAGAAACTCTTGTGTGATAAAAATCTTTAAAAAAAAAAAAAGAAAGAAACTCTTGTGTGTTTTTGTCATAATTTTTTTAGGGACTTAATTATCAGACTGTATGAAATTAGCCATTTTAAGCTTTTTACCCCTAGGGATATTGAGGATCAATAGAGTAACATCTTAGAAGAAAGGTGCCAGGTAGGAGAGTTTTTGTGGGCTTGACTCAGGTTTCTCACCTGAACTGCAATCAGCTTGGCATTTCCCAGCATTTCATTTTGATTTCCTTTTTGCAGAGATCCTGTCCTTTGTCCCTCTTTTCATTTTCCTTAGCATTTCATTATCATAAGTGTGTTTTTAAAATCCCAGCTAGTTTTTATTAATAGCTATAGAATGATAGTCTCCCATGTCACCGCAGGTACTTTCTCAAGGTAGCCTCAAACAACTGAGAAGTGGCATCTTACCAGCAAAAGAGAAGCGACAGCTGTTGGATGTTGGGGCTATCTAGGAACAGCCTTAGGTGACTCACAACAGGAATTCACTTCCAAACTCCCACCATAGGTGTGAGACCAGATCATTTGTCTTTATGCTTTGGGTGGGTGCAGCCCAAAGGAAGGTGAAGAAATGATTTCCTAGGTACCTTCATCACAACCCGTGGAGCTGTTTTGTCTTTTTCAGAATTGGATGTGGTCTTGATCGTCTGCAATGGGAAAATGTATCTGCAATGATTGAAGAGGTGTTTGAAGCCACAGACATCAGAATTACTGTGTACACACTGTGAACAGATGTGTGCTGTGGATGTGTCCATGGTCTCCTGTCATCCCTACTGGACCGTAGCACTGGACGAACTGATGGAAAACGGTCTGAAGAAAGTTTCATGTGAAGTAGTCTGTGTCACAGGCCAGACTTGGGTTGCTGTATTCTCATGATGGGACTGGGATTCTGGAGGAGGGATTGCTTGGGAAATGTTGCTGTGATTTTTTTTTTTTTCCCCCACATTCAGGAAGGTAAGGAGTAGAATGCCCCATATTAGGCAAGGAAATCAGAGATGTTGGGCCTCTGACCCGTTTTGATCCAGGATACTACCTGACTTGTTCAGCTTGCCACTAGGTGGCAGCATTGATTCTACTTCTCTGCTGTTAATAAGAAAAATTTCAGGAAGGATGAACATTTCAATTAGTTTTGCATCTTTTGTCATTGTGAGCTTGCTTGGTATTATCCTTATGTCATATTCATCCTAGGAGAGAATTATGGGTTTGGTTTTGTTTAAATTACAAAAATGAGTCTTAACGTTGTTAACAAGAAATTTGTGGTGACAAAAAAGGAAAAATAAATATTTTTTTCTTGGGGGGTCCAGTGAGGTTCTGTGCACATGGCTGTTGTTCTGGACCTGGTAATGGAGGATTTGCCTGTAACTAATTGGGGAAGAATCAGACAAAAGATCCTGTGAGAAGAGTAGCAGGGTGAGAAGAAATAAGAACCGATAAGAACTGTGGGTCAGCGTTACTGGGAAGGGAGGTGTTTAGAATCTCCTCGTGGTGAACTCGTTCTCTCTTCTGTCTACCACATAACTTCTGTGATTAAACGGGTCTGAATTCAGTCATGGAGCAAGTAAAATAATGTATATGAAATGTCTGCTAAATTGCTTAGGGCGAGTAATGACTCCACAGATTGGTGGTTCTCAACAAAATCCTTCATGAATCTTTTAAGAAAAAGGCCCACTTCCTTAAAAAATTCTAGTTTGGCAGTTTGGGGTGGGGTGGGGGAATTGGCTAGGTTTCTTGATGTCATTAAGCTGCAGAGGATTGCGATCGTGCAGGAATCATAATGGGATGAACAGTATATATTAGTCCCTTTTTCTTTAGCTAAGAGAGCAGCACTTTATCCATTCCAGTGTTTACAGTGAGAGAATAGGTTCCTGGATTCAGGAGCAAAGGTATTGGGAAAACTACTGGAATTCTCTTTACCATTACTATGGTAGTAAGAGTTAAAACAGGGTTGCCTGGCTAGCTCAGTTGGTAGAGCCTGCAACTCTTAAGGTTGGGATCATGAGTTCAGGCCCCACATTAGGCGTGGAGCCTACTTAAATAAAAAGTTAAACTAACCAGACCTACTATTGATTTTCTCACTAGGGTGAATTCTGGGTATGTTGTAGGACTTGCTGCTTTCCCAAGCATAAAAAGAACTGGATTTCAGAAGGGGCTTGTTGAAACACTAGGAAAACACCAGTTAAATATAATCTTTGTACTTTAGACTTGTGTTCTTATCACACTGTAGCATGATAGGAGGCAGCAGTTTCAAAAAGTATTTCACTTTTTCTGTATCTCTGGAACAGACAAGTTCATATCGTTGGGGTAGGAGTAGTGCAGGGCCAAGTTCATTGTTGAACTTAGACTGAGGTTTTTTGAAGCTTTGCTTCTGTCCACATACGGTAAAACTGAAGGGGAAAAAAGAGAATGAATACATAATACAGGAAATGAGAGTGGGATGGTAAGAGGAAACTTAGAATCAAAGTATTTTGCTTAACTATGCAAATCTTCCCTCTTGACTCAAAACATTGGTTTTGTAGGCTTCTACATTTAAAGGGATTAGGATTAATTTTTTTCATGGAATATGAGCCTTCAAGATTCTTTGAACAAAGACTACTCTTGGAGGACTGGCTGTAAGTGGAATTCTGAGATTCAGTGGAGATGTGATAAAGTGCTCTGTCATTTGCAGATAGTCTGGGGGTCAAATTCTGATGACTTATCACACTCGAGGCTTGGGAAGAAGAGGCATAGCATGATAGAATGAGCACGTTATTCCTGGAAACCTAGTTAGAGTTTGGCAAAGACCCAGAAATTTGTACGTGAAGTTTTGCTTCTATGTAGGACTCAAGCCTTGGAAGAAAGGAGACTTGACACCATCCTGCTGTCACCATCAAGTACCACATACCAACTAATCTACAGGGTGTGTGTCTCAACATTGAAATCCTACTTATTTTCTCCTTGATCAAGTGGTTAATTGCTTATTAAGTAGCAATGAGAACATGGGTATCTTATGAACAGATTTCCCCTACCCTTCGTTTCACCCTCTGCCATATTCCTTGTCTTCAGAGAAGGGAAGAGGCACTCATTTACAAGTAATCTCAAAAAATACTTGATAAAGGTCAAGACGGGTGGGAAGTCGGCCTGGGGGAGTTGGTATCCTCTGTTGCCTAGACAAGCCCTGGGTTAAGCCTCCCTTCCACTTTCTATTGTCATGGCTTGGCTTATAGCCTGGGAGCATCCCTATTCCTAGGACAGTTCACTGTTCGTAGTAACTTCTAAATGCCCGAGTTCCTTAAAAAACCTGTTCACAGAGAAACCATACCACTTTTATTAATGTTGCTATTTTTCTTTCTTAAAAAAAAATCCAACTTCACATAAAATGCATTTCTGGACCTATTTCAAAGATCTGCACAGACCTTGGGTCTGAGGTTCTTTGCCTCAAGCAGCCCATTTGGGGAAATAATTAGGCCCTTCTGCCCCTCAGATGCCTGGTGCCCGTATATGGTTGCTGTTTCTTTCTTTGCAACTCAACTTTCCTCTTTCCCAAGAACAGCCTTAGGGAGAGCCATGGCTTAAATGATTTACAGCATGAACAGTATATTTAGAGTCCTTGGAGGACCTGTGCATTAGGATTGGTTGGTGTCCAGTGTTGTCCAGCTCAAGTAGTATTAGGAAGTCAGGCATGTCCCAGATGGCCATACATGTCACTGCTGTCTCCTGGTGGCAGCAGGCAGACCTTAGTGAGAAAAGAGAAAGCATGTTACTGAGAGCCCACTCGCCCCAAACAATGAATTTTCTTTTGAGCTAGGGTTTCTGTCTCCCCTCCAAGCAAGTTTGAATTTCTCCCCCACAGTCTCCTGTGATTGCCACTTTACCCGGCATTAGGTGTGTTGTGTTCATGTTTTGGTGTTCATACAGGGAAAACCCCAGAAGATCCCTACTTTAACTAGAGTTAAATATATGGTTAAGTCCTATTCTGTCATTTTTCTTTTAAAGATGGAATAAGAAAAGGCAAATTTTCTTTAGCAAATGCCCTTTTCTTAGTATTTTAATTAAGCAGAGTTGTTCTTTTGGGCTTTGAGATTACAACTCGATTTCATGCCAAATTTTTTTTTTTTTTTAACTTGGTACATTTTAACCTTTCCCTTCAGGAACATGAATAACTCAGCGTACAGGGAAGCATGTTAATGGGTCCAGATAATACGGTTATGTACACTAATGGAAGGAGGCTTATGGTGTGGAACATGTCCAATAATATTTTATTTAAAAATAATTTGACTTGGAAGTGGACTTTTCCCTCAAACGGATTAATCTATTTTACTTCCATTTACATTAGCATAAGATACAACCTTCAATTATCTAAAATTAAAAGCTCCTTTTAATCCTCCTTGAAATGCTTAATTTTTATAGCAGACTTAGCTATCTAATTACTCAACTTAATGGAAAAACAACAGTACACACACACACACACACACACACACAGGACTTGCTGGCTAGGCAGCTGGAAGAAGTGGCCTCTGGCTCTGAAAGGTGTTTAAGAAGAAAGTATACTATAGTTAAGATCAGTCATTCTGGAGAGTCTATATAGGCTTTATAATTACAGTGATAACACCTACACTAATAAAATCTTCAAGGAATTTAAAAGTTTATTTTGTATTTTCAGAGGTCACCATTAGAAATCTGTTTTTACCACTCCTCACCACCACTCAGAGTGGTATCTGATTTTATGTGAGCAGAGTACAACATGGTGTTACTTGACCTATTACTTGGATAGGTACTTTTTGTGAAAAATGGCTTAAAATTGTGTCTTCTCAGATTGGCTAGTGCTCGAGTGAAGAATTATCGGGCACCCTGTGTGCATGTCTAATAGCAGACACCTGCCAACATCATGCTCCAGAACACTGATACTTCCCAAAACGTGTCTATGACGCCCCCTCTTCTCTTAAGAATATTGAGAGTGAGAGACACCAGAAATCAATTGAATAGCTTCATGGAAGCATGCTGCTTTATATTTTATTAATATGTGAATTGTTCCAGAATTGAAAGTGGAGAAGAGGGTGGTAAAACACCCTTTTCTCTGTTTCTAGAGAATTTTGATCATAACTCAGGCCTTGTGGGGGGACTTGGTTTTAGCATTTCTACGGGAACAAACTAGATCAGACCAAACTTGAAAAAAGTTAGTGAAGGATCTTTTACCCTCTTTCCTGAGGGTAATCGGCCTGTTTGTGTGAGAGTCTTAATTTACCCTCAGCAAGAGGCCAAATTGGCCTTAATTGTGTCCTAATTATTGCTTAAATAGCTAATCTTTACTTCCAGTCCTCCGATCACATCTTGATATCTGTAGGAGGCTATGTCTGAGCTGCTAATTTACAAACCTCTTTTTAACTCTTTCATCATTCCTGCATAAAAGAACATGTTGCTGTGATATCCCCATTCCTGAATTCGACATTTTATCAGCTCTGCTGAGGTCTTCTCAAAGTAAGAAAAATGTTCTTGCATTATACATTCACACAAATTATTGGTCTCCTTCAAAGCGGAACCATTTGTTTGAAAACATGAAAGCATCTCTGGCAATAAATAAGCTGAATACAAATCCATTTGGGGACTTTCAAAAGTACCAAAGATAGAAAAAAAAAATGTCCCTGAAGGAATGAAAAACCTCTATTACAGGGCATGGAAGGGTAAACTTGCAAAAGGGGGTGAGGGTAGGGTGTCCAGAAGGTGTCCAGAGTAAGTCTGGACTCCTGCCCATGGGGGCATGCTTATGGAGTGAGGGCTCCTGTCTGCTGTTCAGTAACAGGTCCTTGCACCACCCAGATCTGACCACAGCAAGCCATTCTGTTTCACCAAAGCTTTCTGATTCCTGTCAACACCTTGAATATTCCAAGGTATGGGAAAACTTCATTGGATATAAAAGGGTAGAAGCGAAAAGGGTTTAAGGAGAAGAACTGAGGAAAGAGAAGAGGAAATGGGGTCTCCTAAAATGTTTTTACAGCCAACCGAAAGCAGAGAAATGCAGTTTGTCAGGGTAGGGCGACAAACCAAACCTACCCCTCATCCCACCTGCCCTCCAGCCTTCTACCTTAGTGATGGGCTAGGGACACATCCTTGGCGCCATGACTCACGTGAGGCTGGGCCCAGAGGCCTACTTCAGGATGTCCGCCAACTTCTCCTCGTAGTACAGGAAGTTCTCCTGAATGTCCTCCCAGGGCTCAAAGGCCTTGGATTGGCCCTCTTCCTGCTCCACAAAATTCTGCCAGACGTACTCGAAGTCCTGGGGCTTCATGATGCGCAGCCGGCAGCCGGCCTCCTTCAGCTTCCTCAGCGCGGCCTGCACTTCGGGCTCCTCCCACATGAAGAGGCGCCCCACCAGGATGAGGAGGCGCAGGTTCTTGGTCTTGCCGAGGGTCCGCAGGATGCGGTCGGCGCAGGCCGCGCAGGGGCTGGATGACACGTACCAGGTGACGTTGTAGCGCAGGGCCGGGTCGAAGGAGGGCAGGATGGTGTTGAAGAAGGCCTCCTCGGCGTGGTTGGTGGCGTGCTCGTCCTCCAGGTACCCCCGGGTGGCCTGCACCTGGCCTCCCTTGGCCTGCGTTTCAACCACGTAGCACAGGAAGGTCTTGTTCCGCCCGGAGCTGTACTCCACATTCCGGAACTGGAACTTAAAGTAGTTGACGGGAAGCCTCTCCCTGTGGGCCGAGGGGGCAGAGGGACAGGGGAGAAGAGAGAGGGATGAGCTCCTGTTCCTCGGACCAGCAGGGAGCAGGTGGCTCTCCAAACTCGGTGCCTAGGGGCATGATGGCCCTTCCTGTCAAAACAGGCCTTGCCCAGGCTGACAACAACAACAACAACAAAAAGGTCGGAATACAGAAGGGTTTATCTGGAGGAGAGGAGAGAAGTTGGAGGTGCACGTTCCAGTCACCCCAGTAGGGAGACAGTAGGGAGGGTCTCCAAACCCTCCATCATCCCTCCAACACACAGCACACTCCTACATTTCTGAATCAGTCACTACTTCACCTGGCGACACATCAGAACCACCCACGAGGACTCGGCACTTGTCAGAGCCTGGGCTCCACACCAAACCAATGAAATCAGAACGTCTAGAGGGGATCCAGGCACCCGTATTTAAAAACAAAACAAACAAAAAAACACTCTCCAGATGATTCTAATAGGCAGCCAGGTTGGAAAAGCAGTGTTCCAATAGTAATCTTACAAAGTAGCAAGCATATAAAATTTCTCCTGCTAGAAGAAGACGAAGATTTTGCAGAACATTTCCTGCTTCCATTTCTTTTCCCTGCCACTCACTGCTAGTGTATCTCAGGCATGGCTCGGCCCACCACTCAGTGCCCTTCCAGTAATTGTTTCTCAAGTCTGGCTTTTCCTGCAGGTGAGGGGGTTGTCACACGATGAATGTCCAAGATTTTTTTTTTTTTAATCTTTGAGAGTACCTTGGTATGCTATAGCTTGTATAGTCATTTCAAAATCATAAAAGACTTGGCCTCTGCCCTCCAGATGCTTCTAATCTAGCAGCTTGACTCTAGCTAAGAGCATTCGAAAACTGCTGATTTAAATTGCATAGGATTTTAAATTGTGGAGGATGTGGGACGAAGGTTCTCTAACATTTAGTCTTGATTCAGAGGGCAACAGAGAATTGTTACAGGCTCCTGAATAAAGAAAGCCGTAATGAAAGTGACGTCCATGGAAGATGACGTGGTAGCTTTAGGCAGATAGAGCGAGGCTGGGGAAAATCCTGAACTGAAGCAAGACTGCTTGGTATCTTAAGACGCCAGACTTGGTGATAACTATGTCCAGTGGCTTCGAGGGTGGGATGGATGATTAGGAAATGAAACCAGCAGAAAAAAGGCCAAGTTTAGGAGAAAGTTCAGTAGTAAGAAGGAAGAGAGAGCAAGGTTTCCAAAATGAGCTAGAGAGGGCATCAGAATTGATTGTTTCTATCTTTATGTATGTCTGCATCTCTCTAAAATAGGGAAGCCTTTTGCAGGTTAGGAGGCCAAGGGGAACAAGGAGGCTTTCACAGGAGAGACTGAAAATATCACAGGAGAGGAGGGTATTGAGTACTGGCTTGGGGAGGCTGAATGTTTTCTTTTCTTTTCTTTTTTTTAAAGATTTTATTTATTTTCTCATCAGAGAGAGCAAGAGAGCACAAGCAGAGGGAGCAGCAGGCAGAGGAGGAAGAAGGCTCCCTGCCAAGCAAGAATCCTGATGTGGGACTCAATCCCAGGACCCTGGGGTCATGAACTGAACCAAAGGCAAATGCTTAACCCACTGAGCCACTCAGGCATTCCTGAGTGTTTTCTTTTTAAAAAATGTAATCTCTGGGAGCACGCCTGGGTCGTTCTTTCAGTTAAGCTCCCAACTCTTTGCTTCTGCTCAGGTCACGATCATGGGGTCATGGGATCAAGCCCCACGTCGGGCTCCCCTCCAGACATCCTGATTTCATTTTGTATGGGGCCCAGGCATTGACATTTGTAGAGTCCTCTGGGTGGTTCTGATGGGCTCCATGCTCAGTGGAGAACCTGCTTAAGATTCTCTCTCTCCCTCTCTCTCTGCCCCTCCCCCCTCATGTGCTCTCTCTAAAATAAATAATCAAATAAAAATTTTTAAAAAGGTAATCTCTGTGGTTGCCCCAGAAGATATCCTGTGGCAATAATTAACCCCACTGTTACTTCTCTACATGCCTTCCCTTTCTAACTTGTGGGACTACAGGGAACTCCCGGGTGTCCCAGGGCCTTGGCTTCTTAGGGATAAGAAGCAGGTTCCAAAGAGCTGTGTGAACATGAGCTATTTCCCTGCAGTACTCCCCGCCCCCACCATAAAATTGTCTCCACCCAAGTTTCCATATCTCTTCCTGTCAAGTTAAGTTTCATTTGTGGAGATGGATGTGTTTGAGGACCTGGCCCCAGGATTCCTTCAGGTACTATATTTAGCTCTCTAAAACCCTCTGTCCCTGATTGGATGTGTTTTTTATTTACTTAACATTTTGGAAGAATGGATGGCCTGATGATTCCCCTCTCCTGTTTCAATCGCTGTTGGGAGTTCACTCATACTGAGCTCTCCCCAATTAAACTCACACTACAAGACCACTCCTGGATTTTACAAGTTGCTAAATGGTCCCTTCACTTCCTGGAATGGCTTTTTTTTTTTTTTTTTCCTCCTGAGAAGCACAGAGCTTACCTTTCTTGCCCAAACACTTTATGCTCTTCAAGGCCTTCTGCCAGACATCCCCTGCCCCCAAGCCTAGTCCAGAGCCGTGTGTATGATGGATTCTCAGGCGAAACCCTTGAAAGTATTCATGACTGTGTGGTTGATTGGGGCTTCCCCAAAGTTGCCTGTGTGACCCCCTCCCCCCCGGGTTTCCCTCTGGAGCTCCCAAAAGCTTTGCTCCAACTTTGCCAAATACAGCCCAGCCAAGACCGTGAATTTGGCCCAGCATGCCATTGCAAATTGGCGGGCTGGTCTGAGGCTGCTGCTTTTCCCAGCTTCTCTTAAGCTCTGATGTTTTCCCCTCCTCCTCTTCCCTTTGCAAGAGGAGAGGACCCAGAGAAACCTGAAACCCAAGGGAGAGGAAGAAAGTTCACCTCTCTATAAATACTGGTTTCCCTCCCCTCTGGCAGGCAGCCCCATAAGTCTACTCCATGCCTCAGCAGAGCCTTCTGGACTAACTGCCTAAGGAAGGGAAATACTTTCAAGAGGAAAAGAGAAGTCGGGGAGGGTCTTGGCTCCCAGTCTTTCCTTTGGGCTTGCTCAAAAACTGGGCTTTCTTGGCTTCTCAGTGGGCTTCTCGCTTTTCCAGAAGGAACATAAAGGTCAAATAAAGTTCTTTGGGCCTCCCACAGGCTGAAACAGCCAGGCCCTGGAGAAGACCCAGGAGAACAGAGGTGGAAAAGGTCTGAAATCTCTCCAGGGAGCTAGACAACATGGCCACCTCGGGTGATTTTATAGAATCACAAAATAAGTCAACACTGTTATGCCTGCTAGCGGAAGAAAGGAAACAGTGACACTAATTTCTTAGATAATCGCAAACATCTTTTCTTCTTTTTTCTAATAGCATGATGCCTGAATACTGTAGTGACTTATAGCCTTTATTCTTGCCCCCAACAGGTGTTTTCCTGCTGAAATGGGGTGTGCGTGTGCCTGCATATTGGAGTGGTGGTCAGGAGAAACATGCTGGTAACAGATTTCTTCACCTGGGTTCAGTCACAATTTCAGGCACAAAAACCAAGAGGGTTATTCCTCCCCCTCCCCTGCTTCTTCAAGCACCTCTTCCTCATACTTTCTGCAGATGGGTCACTCACACTTTATCTGCTGAGACCCAGTCTCCTGGGTCTTGCAATTCTCTAAGCAGGAAACCAAAAATCCTAATCTCTGGGAAAGACCATTTAGAACACGGTTGACTTGGTGGGGTGAGAAGGGTTGTGAATATTTTGTTCACATTTTTAAAATATTTGCACTCCCTAAGCATAAATCTATACATAAAAGAGAGCAACCTAAACGATAGTAGAAGCTCTGAGATGAAACATTTGCTCCAAAATGATCCATGGAGTGGAAAAATCTACTTACAGATCATTGAGTGTTGACTTTGTTCAGCTTTTCTCACCAGATCTCTCATGATCTGCTTAAAAGAGGCAGACGTGCTGGTTTCCGTCTCCTTCTCCCTTTTCCAGACCATTTACAAAGTGGATACTGAGGAGTGGGCCCAGGAAGAAGGAGGAAAGAAGCAGAGTTCTAACAGCCCAGATGGGTTTTGCCAGGCTGCTGGCTCTAAGGTTGTAATTCTCGATGGGATTCTGCCCTAGGCAAGCCCTGAGCCCCTGCCTTTCCCCTGGGAGGCATTGTTTTCACACTGGAGCTCTGAGTTTCCCCCAGCCTCAGTGGAGGCCAGGGTGGCCAGAGTCAGTGGCTGTCTTCTGGTTTTCCGTGGAACAAGCCTCTCCAGCATGCTTTGGAGCCTAGGGTGAGGTGTGAGAGGCTTGCAGGATTAACGGCCGAGTCAAAGGCCCCCACTCCTTGCTGTCCCTTCTCCTCTGAACCCTGCCTTTCCTCTCCCTGTGACCAGAGTAAACCACTGGCAGCTAAAGAAGCAGCTGAAAGACAGTCACAGCCTGTGCCATTTATCTCTCTTCCATACCAATCCCTCTGCTTGCAGGTTGAGCGTGATGCAAATCATACGCAACACAACTAGAAACAAACAAAGACAAACACACAGCCAGAGGTCCTGCTGGGCAGAGCCATAGTCGCTCATCACTGGGGTGGAAAGATGAGAAGACAACTAATTCTGGTGCTCCAGAGCTTCCCTAAAGCATGCGGGAGTTGAGAGGCAGGCATGGATCTGAGGAATTCTCTTCTATGCTAAGCGCGCCTGGCTCTTCAGAGATCCTGAACTGCTCTCCTCCCAGAAACCCTCCCCACAGCTAGTTCTTTACCCTAATGGCTGGCAGAGAGACTACCAGATGATAGGAGTCCATTCATTAGTTCATTTATTTATTTAACAAGTATCTACTAGGAGCCAGGCACTATTCGTGGTGCTGGAGATAAAGCAGTTAAAAGTCCCTGTCCTCGTGGGGAAAATGGGCAGCACATAAATGATTCCTATTCAGTAAATACTGGTCAAATACAAGAAACCTCCCATCTATGGCTTTTTAAAGATGCAGTGTGGTGATTTGGAGTCAGACAGTCTTGGGGTTTATACCCTACTCCATCCATTAGTTTTGGCCAAACTACTCATCCTTCTGAGCCTTGGTTTCCTCATCTGGAGGATAGGTCGAGTAACCCCACCCCTCAGAGTCTGGACAATGGTCAACACTCAAGAAATTAAGGCTGGTGCTGTCGGGTGGTGGCTTCTCTGGACCTCAAATCTTACCCCTCAGTGCTGAATCTTAAGCACAATCCTCTCTACTTTTCTTCTCGTAGTTAGAGGGCTCTTTCTTTCCTTGGTGTGCTGGTTTAACAACCAGCTCTGTGACAGGAAGGGAGGAAGGGAGAAAGAGAGAGGGGGAAGGGAGGGAGGGAGGGAGGGAGGGAGGAAAGAAAATACTCATTTCTAAGGTTTGCTGATCTTTGTAAACACTCCTACTATGGAGATTTCAAGAAACCAACATGAAGTCACTGAACACAGAGTTGGAAAGGGATGCGCACAACTGATTCTTGGTCATCATGAATTGGCTTTGGCACACTACTGCAGTTTTAGACCTTTTTCTAGCACTTTCTACCATGTAATTTTGTTAATGTTCTTAGGTCTTCTTTCTATCCCAAGTGCCCTATTCAAGCCAGAATCACGACAAGTGGGGCATATCTTCTTATTCCTACCTAGTACACCTGCCTCACTCCTGACTATTTCTCAAAACCTGCCTGCTCTTCTGCTAGCTTGCAGCCCAAATCTAAGAAGCCATACAGACAGACCCATCCCCTCTGGGAGTCTTGGCTAGGAGAGGAGCTAATTTGCTGACCCCCTTGATGCCAGGGCATCTGGAGAGGAAAGAAGGGGAAAGCTGTTCCCTCATCCTGTCTCTGCACAGACACAGCCACACCTCTGGGCTATTTTAAGCCATCTGTTTACCCAGAGGGGCTCAGGAGACAGATCTCCACAGCTGTTACTTGTGGCTAGGAAACACTCAGAGCTCCACCTCCCTCCTGAACTACTCTCAGAGCACCCAGAAAACTGCCCTGCAGTTCTGCCCTGTCTCTTTTTCTGAGCCTTGGGTCAGAGAAGCCTCTGAGCCCTGTTGCCTCACTGATGGAGATAGGTGGAACCCTGTTTGGGAAATCTGGGACCCGGAATGAACAAGAGCCCCGTGGAAAGAACACTTGGCTGGAGTCAGAAGAAGAACTGCTACTTACTGGTTCTGTGGTCTTGAACAAATCATGCAATCTCCCTGACTCAGTTTCCCCATCTGTAGAGTGGCAGTAATCCCCAGCATTGTGCTGAAGGTTGAATGGGCTCACACATGTGCAAGCATGCCATGATCATAAAGCTCTGGGTGGATATAATTTGCATCAGAGGATTTGACCATTATAACCAACTCCCCTGGGAACCCAAAGCATGTTCAATTGAACATAGTCTAATTTTGTTCCAGACCTATCCCGCTGCTGTGCTGGGGAGACCACAACTGTGGGCAGAGTGGGTGTGCCCATGCCTGTGTGTGACCAAGGGCAGCATGGACCAGCAGGCTTAGGGGTGAGGAAAAGGATCTCCTTCCATAGAGGACCACTGGGATTGTGGACTCTCCTCACCTGGTAGCCCTAGGCTTTCCCTAGGTCTATATTAATCTGTGCTCTGCTGTTTCTTTAATCCTAGGACAATGGGGGAGACATTCGTTGGTTGAGCACGGGTGAACGCAAGTTCCAGGCTCTTGCCTGAATTCTTCCCTCAGGAACTACGGTGCATTTTTCCCTCAGGTTCTCTTAGAAATCAGAAAGTGTCTGAGTTGGAAGAGACCTTAGGGATCAACTTAGTGTTAACTTCCTTCTGTTACAAATGACCAAACTGAGGCCAGGGCTGGAAAAATCACTTGCCAAGCTTAAAACAGCAAGTCTGGAGGACCACCCGGGGCTCCTCTGCCCTCTGGGGGCATCATGCCTCCATTCTTCCTGAAATTTCTCCTAGTGTGGACCTTACTCTGCCTGTGGGCATTGTTGGCGATTTCCATCAAGGAAGCCTTGGGGTTGAGGGAGGCAATGTGGCCCTATGTAGTCCCTTCTTATTCTTGGCCTACAAACTTTGCTGGGTCTTTTGCAAAAGGAACAGAGAGGAAAGAGGAGGAAGGACAACTTGGTTTTATTCCTGGAGAAGGCATAAACTGGACAAGACAGAGGGATCCTGTACGTAGGCCTCTTTGGGGCCTGGAGACCAAAGGCTTAGGGTCCTTTTTCTTCCTTGGTGCTTGGCCAAGAGCAGAATACCTCTTCTGGCCAGAAGCTCCTGGGCCTGGACGATGACCTGCACTGTAACTACTTTTGCCCTTGGGGCAGATGTGGAGAACCCCTGAGCAGACTTGATTCAATATGAAAAAAAAAAAAAAAAAGCTTCTCACTCAGCCTTAGGAAAGAGTGGATCTGTTTTCCCTATCTTAGGATCTTCCATTCCAGAGAGAAGCTCTAGAGAAAGAGTGAGAGCCATACAGAGAGAGGAGACCCCCCCACTCAGCAGCGAGGAGAGTTGAGGGAGGAGGTATTTTGACCGGGACAATGTTTAAATTTGTATGGGTCATCCCATGTCCTTATCCAATTCCCTGGAACTAGACAGCCTATACCCAGAGAGGCAGGTGACAGCCCCCTACCAGGAGGCCTGAGCAGTGGTTTTATTCTCTGGGGCCTTGTCTCCGAGGAGCTGCTCCTACCTCCCCCGGGTTAGGGCGGGTGGTAGGTGTTGCCTGAGAGGCCAAGAGAGATTTGCTGCTGTCCCCCACTGTAGCCCCTACCATGCACGGTAGACTCCTGGCAGCAGGACTGTGACCCTGACCTCTTCTGTTCCCATCCTGAATTCCCCCAGCCTGCCCTCAGCCCACACTCTTCTGGGGAGGAGGCACCCGGACCACACCCAGGTCTTACCCTGCGACAATCTCAAAGGGAGGCAGTTCAATCAGCTCCTTCAACTTCTCAGGGTCATCCAGGTTTTCCACATCCTCACCATTCTGGGAAGCTGGTGCGGCAGGCTCAGCGGCCGCAGCGGCCCCTGCGGCCCCAGCGGCCTCTTCTTTCTGAGCCATGGAGGGGTGGTGGCTCCGCAGGCACTGAGAAAGGGGAGAGGCGGCGAGTTCCCAGGGCCAGGGCCTGGCGGCAGAGTCCCAAGCAGCTGTCAGCAGCTAAACCTGCTTGGGGACAACGGGAAGAGGAGCGGGCAAGCCAGGCTTAGTGTTGTCACCTCCTGGCCACACAGGCTTTATAACAGGAGCCCTCTGCCCCTCCCCCAGGCCCTTGCCCTCTATCTTTTTTTAATTGAGTGACAGCGGGTGCCGGGATGGGGGGGAATGGAAAATCTGGCTAGTATCCCCTATTTATCAGTAAGCAAAGACAGGAAGCTGGCAGGTGGGGATGGCAAGGCCTGCTCTCCCTTCCCCCACTGGCTCACATATATATTCATACTCTCTCCCTCCACCTTATATCCTTCCCTCTGTTTCCCCATGCAACCCTTCTAGCTCCACGGGGTCTGTCGGGGACGATGGAGAATGGGATAGAGGTTGGGCATCCCGAGATTTAGGAGAGATGCTCTCAGAGGTGCGAGCAGGGTGAGGTTTGTGTTGACCAAGGGTGCTGCAGAGAAACCCTGTCCCATTTGCATGCGGAGACATTGGTTCAGGAAAGGAGGGCCCTGAGATGGGGTAGGATAAGAACTTGCAATTTGGAAAGAAACCGTGGGTTATTACTTAAAGGGAACAGATGCTAATTTGCCAGTTATGGCCCCATAATGCTGTGTTGGTTCTCAATCTCCAGTAGTAACAATACTGCTATTTACAAGCTTAGAGGTTTTGTTTTGTTTGTTTGTTTTTAAAGATTATTTATTTATTTATTTGACGGAGCGGGACACAGTGAGAGAGGGGAATACAAGCAGGGGGAGTGGGAGAGGGAGAAGCAGGCTTCCCACGGAGCAGGCAGCCCCATGTGAGGCTCCCTCCCAGGACCCTGGGATCATGACCCAAGCCAAAGGCAAATGCTTAACAACTGAGCCACCCAGGCACCCAAGCTCAGAGGCTTTGAAAGAGGACAGGCTGAGTTTCATGGCTTACATGTAAAATCAGACTTAATGCTCTCAATAGCCCCGGAAGGCAGTCTGTATCATTCCTTGTTTCATGTGGGGGAACTGGGACTCACAGAAATGATGGTTAAGGGCCTCGCCTGAGCTCATATAGCCAGTGAGCGGGAAAGCCAGGATTCAAATCCAGGCGTTTTTACTCCAGAGGCCAGACATTTGACCTCCAAACTGTGTTTCCTCTAAGTCAGTCCTTTATTCATTTAACAAATATTTGTTGAGCATTTACTATATGCCAGGTGCTGTTTCGGGTACTGGAATATGGCCCAGAACAAAACAAATGAAAATCCTTGTCCTCACAGAGAGTGCCCTCCTTGCCCTTGCCCTCACTTGAGAGTGTTGGACAATATACAAGATAAGTGATATATCTATCTATCTATCCATCTATCCATCTATCTCTCTTGTCTGTTTGCTGGTGTTAAGTGCTAAGGAGAGAAGGCAGGTTAGTGGGACAGAAGTGTCAAGGGGTTGGGTGGTATTTTTATAGAGTGGCTAGGGAAGGACTTTGAAAAGCAGACAACTGAGAAAAGATCTGAAGGTTATGAGGGAAATATGCTTTGTAAAGAGAAAGTGGTCCAAGGGGAGAAAGAACAGGTGCAAAGGCCCTGAGGTGGGATCATTCCTTGTGTTTTTGAGGAGCAAGGAGATACCTGTGCGGCTGGAGAGTCCTAGGAGATAAGGCCAGAGATAAATAAGGGCTAGATAGATAGGACCTTATGGACTTGTCAAGGACCTTGACTTTTTCTCTGAATGAGATGGGAAGCCATTGTCTTTGAACAGATGAAACACATGGTCTGATTTATATTTTTACAGGATCACCCAGGCTGCTTGGTTGAGAAGAGGCCAAAGGTGGGAAAGACGAGAAGCAGAGGGACCAGTTATAAGCCTGTGAAAGGAATGAGAGACCCCTGGAGCCCCTGGAAAAATCCCTGAGCTAAACCAGCATTGGAAGATGTATGGATCACTTTCTCAGTTCCCATCTTGGATGCTTAGCAGAGGCCACAGGTGTTTATGTTTGGGGCAGCATGAAAACTCTAGACCATTCTCAAGGCAGTGGAAGGCTGGGGTCCGGGTCACCTAGAGGTTGAAAGTGAGGAACATGGAAACTTCAGGAACTGCTGGAACCCAAGTGGGTTGGGCGGTCATGGAAAGGGAGGGTACCCTTCCACGGTCTGCCCAGAGAATAGGAGTCAGGTCAATTTGGAGTATCTGGGGCTTTGGGGGTCTCTCCCCAGGGAATTCTGAGCCACACAGGGCCCCATGAGTAAGAGGCCAAACATTTAGGTCTTCCTGGATGGTCATGGTTTCTACCTGTTGTCCAGGAATAATTACTACTGGTGCCCCTTGCATTCTCCAAAGCGCTCCAGTATCCACCATAAACTAGCTGGTTCTCCTAATATGTTTGCTACTGAAAGCATTTACTCTGAGGTTATTTTTTTCAGGTGTTTTTTTTCCAGGGATGTCAAGCACGGAGTGGTAGGAGTAGTGCCTGTATCCACAAAGAAAAGGTGGTGATCGCTGATACATGGTGGACCCACATTATTCATTGTCATCCCACAAACACACAACAGTTCCATGCAAAGAGGTCACTTCCTTCTTTATTTGATCAACACTTAATCAAGGGCTCCTGTGTGCCAGGCGCGGTAGGAAATGGCAAGAACACAGAGAGGCACGAGGTGCAGTCTGGCCGGGGCGTCCTATCTTCAACTTCAGCAGGGCCTTGGGCACACACTAGTGCATTCAGTTCTCACGCCAGTCTCACACGGGCAGGGATCACTGGCGTTGGTTTGCAGTTACGGACCTGTGGCTCAGGAAGGTGAAGTCAGGTATAAAGATCACACAAGGATGTAAGTCCAGGTTCTCTGAGATAGTTCTTATCTCCAGGGCGGCACCCAGCCAGCTCTGATGAAAGCCTGTGTAAAGCTGTGAAGGTGGGTGTCCCTCTCCTCCTTCTGGGTCATAGCTGCAGTGAGGGGCATGGACCAACCAAGGCAGAGCAAAAGGTCTGGGGAGAGGCAAGTGACCAGGAGGGATCCTTTCAGGGCCTTATTCGCTCTGTGGGAAGGATTTCCTCCATGAGGACAGGTTTTTTCTTTTCTTTTCTTTTTTTTTTTTTTTTAAGATTTATTTATTTATTTATTTATTTAAGATTTTATTTATTTATTTGAGAGAGAGAGTGAAAGAGCACAACCGGGGGAATGGCAGAGGGAGAAGCAGGCTTCCTGCCGAGCAGGGAGCCTGATGTGGGGCTCGATTCCAGTACCCTGGAATCATGACCCCAGCCAAAAGCAGATGCTTAACTGACTGGGCCACCCAGGTGCCCCAAGATTTATTTATTAGAGAGAGGGAGAGAGCGAGCAAGCTGGGGAGAGGGGCAGAGGGAATATAAGAGGTGGGGAAGTAGACTCCCTGCTGAGCATGGGGCCTGATGTAGGGCTGGATCCTGCAGCCCTGAGATCATGACCTGGGCCAGAATCAGGGGTAGGACACTCTAGAGTAGGACACTCAACTGACTGAGCCACTCAGGCACTCTGAGGACTGGAAACACGGCACAGATATTTTGGCTGTCCTGTATAACTCAGGATTGGTTGGGGGGAGGGGGAAAAATCCATGCTCATGAGCCCATCTCGGCCTTGATTCACTGTGTGATCTTGGCCAAATCACTAAGCATATCTGGGCCTTTGTGCTTCTTTCTGAGTTATTGTCCAGGACGGTCAAAGGGATGGAAATGAGAAGAGGAGAAAAGACTGGCTCCTGTGAGGGTGAAGATGAACAATGTCATGAAAATTTCCTGACTCTGTTGGTGGGAGGTGGGACAGAGGTGGACCCAGCTGGTCCTTTCTGAAGAGGTGACCCCTCACTCCCACCACACCCACATACCCCTTTTCCTTTGATACTTGGGAGAGCACTCTGGGTCCTCCCTTGGACTGATAACTGACAGCTTCCTTTTCCACGGCTCCTCTCCAGCCCCCACCCCTGCCCTCCATCCCTGGAGGCCCTCTGAGCTAGCTCTGGCTATTTATGGCACCTCCTGGGGGCCTGGTTCCTGGCTGGTCCCTGGTTCTCCTTTCCAAGTCCTACCAGTTTCCCCTGCTGGCCCCAGAGTGCAACAGCTAATCTGGGGATCAGGTGCCTGGAGCTTGGCTCGGCCTTCTGCAGCTGCCACTCTACTCTTTAGGGCAGGCATTCCCCAACCCCCCTGTTAACACTTGGGTAAGTTTCTATCCCTTTGCTCCTCCTGCAGAGGAGGAGAAAGAGAAATAAGGCATCTAGTTCAAGGTCACAGCAGGAGTCTGTGGGTTGCTGGGTCTGACTGCCAGGTCTGTCAGTCTTCAAGTTCTAGGATTTTCCAACTGTGTTATGCTGCCTAGAATTCAGTAACAGGGAGCACTGACATTAACACAGCCCTTTGTGGGGACCTGACACTGGTCTCAGCAGGTCATGTCAATTAGTCCATTTACTCCTCATGAGGATGTTGGGGTAGGTAATAATTAATAGTAATTACTCTCATTTTATTAGTGAGGAATTTGAGACCAGAGAGCTTAAGTGACTTGGCCAAGGTCATGCAGCTAGTGAGAGCAGAGCTGTGGGCTTCCAGAGTCATGCTATTACCCTTTCACCATTCGGCTCCTACTGCTACCAGGACTCCCGAGGCCGGGCTCCGAGGAAGGAGGGACAAGAAGGACTCTAGAGGAGGAAGGCATTCTTCAGGGACCTTGGCTCTAGATGCAATCAGTTTGTGAGGAGTGCATGTGCAGAGGCATGTATGTACGTGTGGTGTGTATGTGTAGAGGGTACAGGGATAGAGACAAAGCAGCTGGGGAGTAGGGATGGAAACTGAAAAAGGAATGCTCCCAATCTGTCCCCGCAGGCCCCAGCCTCATTCTCTCTGGGATGTCAGGGGCCGGAAAGAGCTGTATTAGGCCCAAGAGAAGCTGCAACCTGCCTCTCCCAGTCCCATTTCCCAGGGTCGTTTCAGAAAACATTTGGATGTTCTGGAGGTGGCCGAGGAGTAGGGGACAGGGTCAGGCACAGCTGTTCCTTGGGTCCCAGCCTGATCCCTCACTGCCCTCACTGGGAAGGAAGTAGAGGCCAGGAGGAGCCTAGTGGAAAATAGAAGCCT